GGAATGTTACAAGCTTCCTAAATACAAAATCTCCTCCATTTTTTTTATAAAGCCACCACTATGCCATCTTCTTTAGCCACCTTTCGGCAGGAAATGTCTTGTAAGGCTTTTTAGCTTCATCAGTCAAGGCCCTTCTAACTGCATCGGTAGTTAGTACACATGGAACTCTTATTATGCTTGATTTCGTTCAAGGTTGGATGACTAAACTATGAATTCTACTGTTCGGAAGTGCTCTGAAGCTGCAATTTCAAATAAAAGTATTCTGCTGCATTAGAAGGCTCCTGCTGCATGTCTTAAATGTTTTGAAATATGCAGTGCTATATCCAAAAAACAGCAGGAAGGGGAAGATAGAGGTTTCCAATGGAAAAAATTCGTAAACAGGGGTTATGTGCTTGATCCGACGTTTCGACAAGTGGATTTGTCTTCAAGGCTACAACTGATTTTCTTAGCGCTAGCATGTATATATGCTTTGTACCCTCTCCTCCATTCTAGCAAAGGACAAGGAGAGGGCAGTGGTGGATACAAGGGTGCAGATTTGGGGGGAAGGGTGAGTTCCGTGACAAATTGTGTGAGTGAAAAGGGAAGTGGCATTCTTTAAATAAAAATAAAAGAAGCGGGGCAAAATACTTTTTGATGAATCATGGATGTCAGAAGATGCACCACTTAACAAAGGTAGGTTTGAAATTCCTAGGAGAGCTTAACTCGCATTGGTTTTCTTTGTGCATGTAAAGAAATCAGTTCTAGCCTTGGGGAAGACTAGTCCACTTGTCGAAATGTTGGCTCGAGCGCACAACTGGTGTTTACAGAATTTTTTTATTGCAGTGTTATATGGCCACAGTAAACTCAGTGTAAGAATACTGTTAGACGCCACGCCGGGGTGAGGCAACCGTTTAAGGGGCCTAACAGCAGCGAGACAGCAGCCAGCAGTTTCAGCAGCAGCTGCAGCAGCATCAGCCTCCACCACAACCAATGTCTTTTTCGTCGTTTCTATAGCAGAGCCCGTATTTTTTTATATTTATTTATACAATACTGCAGACCAATTTAATGGTCCGAGCAGGACGGGCAGAAAAAAAGAATGTTCACGCACATACAATGCAATGCAATGTAACAAAAACAATGAAGCAACAAAACGCAGAATTCACTTGGAACTACAAAATAAACAAGCCACGGTGAAACCGACTTTTCGCACAAACATAGAGAGTTTCCAATCCAAATAAAACTAGAATATCGCGCACAACTTCAAGAAACATTGCTAAAAACCCGAACGTCAGTAATTTAAAGTTTCTAAAATGATCGTGTAGGGCTGTCATAAAATTTCCACTAAAAATTCTTTCTGGCAATTTATTCCAGTCATCTACTGTGCGTGGAAAATATGAAAACTTAAAGGTATTTGTTCGGGCAAAGAATGGGGATAAACTGTGGCTATGTGTGTGTCGTATTTTCCTCGTGGTGGACGGACTAATGAATGGAGTGGGTGATAATCCAGTCTTACACTTAATTAGGGATTCCATAAAAGCTAAGCGGGCAATTTGGCGTCTAATGTGTAGTGGTTGGATTTTATTGAGTGCCATGATACCTGACGGAGAATCACTTCTTTTATATTTATTATAAATAAAACGAACAGCCCTCCTCTGAACCTTCTCCAATTCGTTAATGTTTTTGTTCGTGTGCAGGTCCCAAACAATCGCTGCATACTCCAGTTTAGGCCTAATTATGGAATTATACGCTAAAAGCTCAACGTTACTAGGTGTACCTCGAAGTTTATGCCGTAAAAGACCAAGTTTTTTTAGCGCTGAAGAAGTTACCTGCTGAACGTGGTCGTTCCAATCTAATCTGGAGTTCAATACGATACCTAGGTATTTAAACTTACTAACCTCCTCGATTAAGGTGTTTTTAATTTTGTACCGGAAAGTTATGGGGTTTTGTTTCCTGGTTATACGTAAAAGAACTGTTTTTGTTGTGCTAATTTTCATGCCCCATTTGTCGCACCAAGATGATATGTCACATAAAGCCCTATCTAGCCGATGTTGATCAGAAGCAGACTGCACTTCAGTATAAATCATGATATCATCCGCGAACATTCCAATATTCACAGTATCACCAACCACAGACACTAAATCATTAACATACAACAAGAAAAGCAGGGGCCCCAGCACACTTCCCTGGGGCACACCTGATGTCACTGTTAGAGAAGAGGAACAAGTACCATCGATGTCTACAAATTGCGTTCGATCTTTCAAATATGAATTAACCCAATTTACAAGTGTAGAAGGAATTCCTGCTTGTTTAAGTTTTAAAAGAAGGCCACCGTGAGGAAACCTGTCGAATGCCTTGCTTAAGTCTAAAAACAAAACATCAATTTGCCCGGAGTTATCTAAGATTGAACTAAAACTATGAACAGCGGTGACCAACTGCGTAACGGTAGAAAATCTCTTTCTAAAACCATGTTGGAAGGGACTCAATGTTTTATTTTTTTCCAGTACATTAAGAATATGGTTAGCTACAATATGTTCTATCATCTTGCAACAACAGCACGTTAAGGAAATTGGTCGATAATTGTCAACATGGAAACGGTCTCCATTTTTAAAAACTGGAATTACCCTAGCCATAAGCCAATCATGGGGCAGCACGGACGTCCGAAAAGATTCACGAAAAATGACTGTCAAAAACCGAGCTAAAGATTCTGCATAGCGATGCAGAAAGGCGTTCGGGATTTCATCCGGGCCAGTAGTGCGCTTAGGATCTAATCGCAGAAGCATTTCAAAAACTCCTTCAAAAGAAACAAGCTCGATCTGTTCCGAATGAGCCTCCATATAAAATTCATCACCTTGATCGTTTGAAAACACAGAATGAAAAAAGGAATTGAAAGCATTAGCAATGGAGAGATGAGATGTTTCCATCTTGCCATCAACCAATAATTGATCGACCGATTTACGTGCACTACGGATGTGATTCCAGAACTTTCCTGGATCGTTTAAAATGAACTGAGGCAAACTTTCATAAAAATACCATTTCCTTGCCACTACATTGACTCCCCAGTGCAAAAGGAGCCATCCTGGCCACCTGTGGCACAGACAGGACTGGTGGAGTTTTAGACAGAACTGGTCGTAGTGAAGTTTTTGACGGTCGACGTGCACAGTTTCGCGCCTGCGGTGCCGTTGATCTGTAGGTGGCTGAATAGGTTCAACCATGTAGTTGACTGGTGGTGTCTGGCGCAAAATCCAGTACGGACCGTCATACTTGGGTATGAACTTTGAGCAAAGTCCTGGGCCAGACGATGGCACGCGGAGCTACACGATTGTTCTAGGCGCGTATGATAAAGGGGATAAGCGTCGGTCATGGGAATGCTTCTGGCGAGCCTGATTGTGCGGAGTAAGCGAACGTGCGAGCTGCCAACATTCTTCGGCATATGTGGCGGCTTCGGCCAAAGTCGTCGATTCTGAAGGGTCTGGATACAGAAGGATAGTGTTCAAGAACGATGAAGGTTCCCGACCATAAAATGGAAGAATGGAGAGAATCCACTTGTCGATTGAATTGCGCTGTTGTAAGCATAAGTAACGAATGGCAGTATGCGGTCGCAGTTCTTATGGTCATCGGAAACATACATGGAGAGCATGTCACACAGCGTGTGATTAAATTGCTCAGTCATCCCGTTGGTTTGGGGGTGATATGCGGTGGCTGTTCGATGCACGATGTTGCATTCGTGTAGGAGGGCTTCTACAGCTTCAGACAAGAAGGAACGCCCATGGTCCCTGAGAAGCTCGAAGGGTGCACCATGCCGAAGGACGAGGTTGTGTAGAATGAACAAGCCGACTTCACGCACAGTGGCCTCGGGAAGCGCCGATGTTTCTGCGTAGCGCGTAAGGTGGTCCATGGCTACGATGACCCAGCGGTTTACATTTGATATGTATGGTAGGGGACCATACAAGTCGATTCTGATGCGGCCGAAAGACCAAGAAGGACAAGGCAGTGGCTGGAGTGGCTCTGTGGTTGTGTGAGAGGAGCTCTTCCGGCGTTGGCACAAGGAACATGAACGGATGTACTGCCTAACAAAGCGGTACATTCTGCGCTAGTAATATCAAATTCGTAGGCGAGCATTCGTATTCACTACACCTGCGTGGGCGCATTGCGGATCCGCGTGGACGGAGGCACAGAGGTCAGAACGTAGGCGGCGAGGGATTACCAGCAACCATTTGCGGTCATCAGATAGGTAGTTTCGCCGGTACAGAAGACCGTCAGGGATGGTAAAATGGCGAGCATTTTGTCGAAGTAAGCGGTTGTCGGTACATGGAGACGTCTGAGACAGGTACTCTAAAAGAAACACTGTCCTTGGATCCTGGCGTTGTTCAGTGGACATGTCGGCATGTTCAAGTGAAGAACAATCGCAGCTGCGAACAGACGTTTTAACATAATCGTGGGGAAGTGGAGATCATCTTCAAGCATCCTAACCAACTAACAAAAGAAATCGCTGAGGCATATCATATAAAGATTAGGGGTAGCAAGTGCATTAGTGAACCATCCGTCACACTGGATGAAAAAGAATCTAGTTATTTAGGCCAATCTTGATTATCGCCATAAGTGTGACAACGCTACCTTGGTGCACCTCTTGTTCTGCGCATGTCGTGATGTAAGCTGCCAGTACCTATATATATATATACATTTCACCCCCTTTTTTTTTTTTTTTTTTTCAATAAACATTTGTGAGTCAGCGCAGTCCTTTTTTTTTCTCTTTTGCTCCTTCCCTGTCCTGTGTTTTCTGGTGTCGCGGTGTAAATAAGTTCACGATGAATAAACCTGTTCTTTTAGTCTAAGGAAGTAGGATAATACACAATGGTGAAGGCTTGCCAGACAAACCCAAAGCATGTCACAAAAATTCACAGGAAGGCATTCAGAACTGTTTCCTGCCATTATGTTGACCAGCTTTGTCACTGAGGGCTGTTATACCCTACAGACACCATTCTCTTATTGAATCACTTCAAATTTTTTTGTTTGTTTCCTAGCTATAGCAAAGGCCAAACAGTCATTCAGCAGCTCCAGCCCTGGGTACCTGTCATTTGCTGCCGATGACATCATTGAGGTTCTCAGAAAAATCAGCAGCTCCATTTGGGAGGTAAGTAGCTTCCACATTAAATTTCATGATTTGTAAAGCTATAAATTTTTTTGTTTAAATGGAGACACTCCTTGAAAATCTCATTCTTTTATTTCTATTAATAGATACTTGAAAGTTTTGTCATTAGTATAGTTTTTCATACAGATTTCAATATGCAGTCATGTTTTGGATAGCTGCTATAATTCTTGAATTATGCCGTACACCTTAGCAAAAAGTTACTTTTTGCGGGCACTCTTTTATGCACTAAATAAACTGTGAGTAAAAGCATTGTGTCTAAGCTTATTTGACTCTTACTAGATTGTGAAGTGCAAATATCTATCTAGATATTTCACAGCAGTATTGCAACAAAAATAAAATTGTATTGAGTGACAAATTATTTTCAACGTCTCTTGAAACAGTAACCTAAATTTTTTTTTAAACTAATGCTAGTAGGCATTGCAATTTCAAGTAGGTATTTGCATTCTGCATGTGTTGAAGAATATATGTGCCAATTTTCGTTACTATACAGTAAATATTAGTTTCTAAAAGGCTGCCTAGAAAATGTGAAACTGTAAAAAAATAAAAATGACAGAAACAAGTTCGGAAGTTTGGAAAGTTGGCATTTATGTATTAGGAAATCATTCTTTTTGCATCAAATTAGGGCGCAGTGAAAAGTTCTTTGCACTGACCGAAGGCATGGCGGCCAAAGTGGCATGACAGCAAGGCGGCAAAGCGGAAAAAACCTCCTCTCCAGGCAGTGAAAAGGAAAGGAGGCAGAAAGTGCAATCGTTCTCGCCGCTTTGCTGCAGCCCATCAGAACGCGACGCAGCGCGGCGGTGATAGCACTAACGCGGTGGTGACACTGGTGGTGGCACTGGTGGAACTTTGGTAGTAGAGTTGAGGAGTTTATTTGGGAGAAGCGCTGTCATGTGATAGTGAACCGCGCTCTCCTTTGCCCCCCTCCCCTCTGACATGCGGCCAGCAAGGGGAGGTGTGTGGTCTGAACAGGTGCACGAATTCGCCGCTCAGAAAAACTCGCTTTCCTGCTGGGCCTTTGGTGTGAACGAGCCTGTGTCTAGAAGTCCCCTGCATCATAGCTTGGTCCTGCACGGCTCTTTTGGTCAGTGTCCTCAACACAAGTTCTCTTCGCTGTTTTGCAATGGTGTGACCTCGCTTCGGCAGTTTGCTTCAGGTTCATCTTCCTGATGCGCATGGCATCAGAGTGGTCACCATGTATGGCCAGATCTTGTGAGAAGAGAATTCCAATTCCTTCGAGCACTTTTTCAAAGCCCCTGTGGCCAAAGCACAGCAAGAGTGGTGGCTGTCTCCACAGTTATTCTGGAGAGGAACTTTGTTTTTGTACGTAGCAGCCATATCTTGTTCAGCGATTTGGCTGCGTTCTGTGTATTGCCATGAAGGCACTGAATAAGGAGTTCCTCCTTTGTGAGGCGCTTGTAGGTGGGCATAATTTCCAATCCTTGAGACTTTGTTATTAGTGGGGTGTGGTGCAGTGCAGGCTCCCCCAGTGCTTCGGCACACATGTGCTATGAATTTTGTCCTGCGGGGCAAAAGTTATGGCTACTGGCACCATCACTAGAGCAGCAATGAAACTGTAATGCCCATATAGCAGTGTGCATATTTCACTGTCCTTGTTGCTCGTGATGGCAATCTTGTCATATATGTTTGTAATTTTATTATTGTCACATCTTTCAGTATTTCGCCTAGTGGCAGTGATGTTGCCAATTTTCGTAGAGCAGTTCCCAAGCGCTTTGCAGAATGGTTAGTGCACTCTTCTTTGTCAATGAGTGTGTCGTAGACTCACAGTATACATTTGCTTCAAAGACTGCAGTGTAGGCTATCAATTGAGAAGCTGCTGAATTGCAGTGGAGTTTCATAAGACAAGGTCCTCCGCCATATACTGACAGCTGCTGGAGGTTCCATTGCATGGCATGAGTAGTCAGTGTTTTTTTCACAAACTGGAAGATTGAATACTCCTCCAGGTCCCTGTGGATACTGCAAACGTAGCATTAGTTCGAAAAAACTTCAAAATAAAGGCAGAGCCGTGTGCAGGGACACGACTGTGTCCACTCCATTGTGGCTTTTCTGGCCCCTCTTCTGCCAGGTGCCATCAAACATGACTGGCACATCTTTGCCGCCGTCTGCGTTCTTCGTGATGTTTCGTGCCTGGTCCAAGTTCTTGCTCACTGCCGTCATCAGTGCACCATGGAGCTTCTTAGAAATTTTGTTGCGAATTTTGTGATGCATCAGACTTGGACGAGCTAGAATCACACAAAATCATGAAAGTTGTTATTGGCCTGCACCTGTAGCGCGTGCTGCCAGAGCTGCCTTCACATTTCCAGCAAAGCTGCCGCTGTCAAAACGAGTGCTTGTCCCTTGGTCCTCGGCCGAAGTAGTACGTCTTGACGTGTGCGTGAACAAAGGTGCAGATTCAGGGCAATCGGAACTTTCACAGCACAGTTAGAGAAATGCCGAAAGTTCTTTGCACTTTCCAGCTGCCTCTCGGATGCCGAGCTTCCATTTGCGGCAGGTTAGTCATTGCGCACCCATCACAAGTGCCATCAGCACATCGATTTCGCAAGGCAGCGTGTTGGCACTAGCAGCATCTACCGGTCTGCGTTCATCCTTGAAAAATCTAATCTCCCTTAGGGACACACTTCGGTTCTGTTGGTGTTAGGCCTATCCGAAGTCGGGGCTCCCGTCGTCATTGCCGGTGCCTTTTCCCTTGATACTTGTGACGAGTTCTAAACTCTCGATTATATGAACTGCACTTGTTAGGGCTTGCCATGACGTAAAAATGTAGAGAAATGCAGAACAACTCGATCTCCACAACCGAGACTTCGCTGTTTTGCCAAAGAAATAGAGGTAGGGGGAGCTCACCGCCGTCCAATGGCGGCCTTGTGCTGCGTGCCACAACATTTAAAACGCATGACGTACGTGTTGGTTTTTTTTTATTCTGCGTGAAGGTACAGTGAATTGTGGAGGAGGCGGCCTACGCTATGCGTGCACATTGCAAATGGCGGGCAGCGCATCATTTTTGCGACAGGACTACACGAACTACGCCATTTTTCGTGACTTTCGCCCATTTATCGTGTCACTGCTGCCCACTTGGAAGCAGTTTTAGATAATTTATCGTGTGAAAATCAGTTTGATATTTTCAAAAGTAAAAGATTATAGTCCAAGAATAGTTATACAGCTGGGGAAAAAAAGCGAAAATTTTCTAGAAAACCGTGACTTTTATACCCACGGCTCAGGTTTAACAAGAAGTCTAGTTTTATTTATGAAATGTTGGGCTGTCTCCACACAATGCTTTTGCGGGAAATACCAGTAAATGCATCATTAAAGGCTTACAAAAGATTGCTTTAGATTTTAGTATAGCAAAAAAAAGAAAAGAAAAATGCTACCATTGCATTTACCAAAAGTGCTACATGAGAGTAAATGTGTGGCTCCTCATCATTTCAGCTAAGACTGGGTGCCATTTACAACTGCTCATGGTACACTGAACAAATCTATTTGCTTCTTATACACGCACCAGCACGAGCATGTGGCCGCTCCATAGATGCTACTTAAAGGCTCATAAGAAAAGCAGAAAGGCAAACACCCAGCTTTGCAGCATTGACAAGATTACCTTAGTCTTGTGTTGCTTATTTATAAGTGATTCAGCCAAAGTGAAATTCTATTGGATTTACTCTCTGCGTGTTCCTAGCTAATGCTGAATAATCATATGTTGCCGAACTTGCTTTATAAACTCATTGCAAATGCAAACTGGCAAAGTGAACCGAAATTGTATGTAACTTTTGGCATAACCATTACTTGTTGCCACATGTGCAAAACAAAAATTTCCCCATGATTTTCTGCTCTAATAGCTGTCTTTGCTTCATATTCTTTCACTGCAGTGGCCATATTAGTTGTTGTAGTTGAGTACTGCCAAGTCACTTGTGACTCCTGGTGACACTGCGAGTACATAAACACCCATGAAATATAGTATATGGTAGAAGTTCTGTAAGTTTATATAGATAATGCATAGAGTTGCCTTGGAGACTACCATAAACCATCTTGTGGATTACTGGCCTTATTTTATTAATGTTTTCACTTTGGGTGACTTCGGTTTTGGAAGGCGGTTTTGGAAGGCTGAAAATAATGAGGAAAAAAGCTTACCTTTTAAAGGTGACTGACGTTTTTGAAATATATTTTTCATTATTATGCAGTTTCTCACTTCACGGAGCATTATTTATTTTTTCTTATTTTAACCATTCAAGACATCATAAAGTTCTAACCCCCCCTTTTTTTAACCTAGTAAGATTACAGTATCTATCTAGGGCTACTATTTCTTTCTTTCTCTTTTATTTATTTATTTATATTTTTTTTGCAGCATGAGGTCAAGCAAAGAAGGCGGTGCTGAGAGCAGACCTTTTTTTTTTTTTTCAAAGTTGTTTATTATTTATGTGTAAACACTGAACTGCATTGAGTTCTGATTGTTCAGTTGAGAATGTTCAATTTCAAATCTGTTTGCAACACTGTACTTCTTATACATTCTGGCACCCATCTATATGTTACTAACCACTTTATTTCAAACAGGTATATTTGTGTTGTTTTACCAAACAATGTAACGTAATTCTTATCTCAAGAACTACTAGCACAATCAAAATATTGTTGCATATCTAAAATCTGCTCAAGAAATAGAACAAATTTTTGCTGTTTCATCTAACATGTCTCAAAAATAGTTAAAGCTACCTTCATAAAACGTCACCCTTGGAATTGGTAGCTTACCCATATAATGAGTAATGAACAAATAAATGTGTGTATTTGGTAGTGCACAGGATATTGCTTGAATTTACTAAAATAGTGGGCATAGCAGATGTCTAGTTCTGTAGTTTGCATCGAAGCTTGTTATACCATTTTACAATGCAAAAGTAATATTAATCTCAACCTATTTGTCACAGAAATTTGTGAGCCTTCATTTTGTAATGTACCTATTAACTGCATTCTTTTGAAAAAATTGATCTCAATTCGTTTTGTACCTTCTGTCACATGATTTGATATGTTTGCTTCATTATCAGGGCCGCCTACAAAGAACTGCAGAAGAAGGCTTTTTTCCTGCGGCATGTGTTGAAGAGGTGAGGAAACTTAATAGCCTCGCACATGAGTCATTATGTGGTGGAACTATTGGATGCTGGGACATGCGATCGTCGGGGCAGCGCGTTGTCAACATGGCAATTTTCTCTAAAAAGGCTTAATTGAAGCATTTCCTGGTAAAATATTAGTACAATAAATTATTTTAATTGAAATGTATGAAGAACTTTAGTAGTAACAATTTAGACTCACATTTAGAGAATACGTTATTTAAAACTTTTTGTTTAAAGATAAAATCCATATGATAATTTTACAGGTTGTTTTCAGTCTCAACTTGTACAATAATTGATTATGGTTTGGCACTTTGTTGACCTTTTTACAAAGACATGATTAACAAAGCATCTATTTAACCATGCAAATCACGAAGCTATGTGTAGAACTCGTGCTGAGATAATGTGTCTGACGATGCACATGCGTTTTCTGAAGCTGTGCATGTAATTTACAGCAATGTGATACAGCACCTTAGATGACACTCTGGTTATTGAAAAATAGGATGGCATGTATTGGAAGAATGTGTGGCTTGAATAAATAATTTTTGCCTGTGGTAAAGCCAGCGAAGAGTTGAAGATAACAGTCAGGCATCTTGATAAAGGGCGATTCCACAAGAGATCGACACGGGTCCAAAAGTTGATGTTATAGATTTCATTGAGTATTTTATATCTCGTGCACCTCTCACCAGGTAGCCCGAAAGTCAACTTCGTTTTATGATTAACGGCATAACTTATGAGAAAAAAAATATCAAACTTCACCAACACAGAGGCATCAATTTCGTCGCCTGTCATTTTCAAAAATTGCAGAGGCTATAAAAAGACAAATATTTTTGTTTCAAGGAAGATATTTTTTACCTGAAATGCATGTCTAATGAAGAATGAATTCATACGGTTTCAAGTTTGTAGACCTTAAGAAAATAGCTTTTAAAAATGTCTAATTTTGCGACAGTTTAAAATAAGTTACGTATTCCCCATTTTTTTCTCCTAAAGTAATGCAAGCAGCGTTTTCAAACTTGACACGTTTTAAGCATATAGTGTGTTTATTAGGTACATAAACTATTGCTGCCGTAGGGCAAATATAAATTTTTATATATTGCCTCAAAGTTTTCATATTGGTAAAAGTGTACTCCACTGAAATTTGAATAATAAAAAACCCCATCTTCGATTTTTCTTAAAATCTCGTAAATAGACAACCGAAGGCCATCATACTGTAATATAGAAAAACATGTTGCATTATTTTGTTTTTAGTGACAATATTCGTCGTACAAATCGGAGCTTTTCGAGAATGCGCTGATAAGCTGAGAAATCTAGAAATCTGAACGGAAAAGCGGCAATAAGCTTCAAATGTGAGTAAATGTGACCGCATTTGGTGAAGAAAGGCTGTTTTAGCAGATAGGAGTAACTATTTTGAACACAGTATTCTACAGTATCTGAATTCATTCTTATACGTAGAGCACTGAGACTTCTAATATGTGGTGCCTCTTCATTACTGACACACAGATGGAGCTGCTGTGACGACCATGTGTTTGCAACACGTTGCAAACACGAGACTGCCCTGCTTTTGCCACTGGCTTGCTTTTGAGTCGCAGGCGATCCGAAATCGAAGCTCGCTCGCTCAGTTCAGGGTTTCTTTCACGCAGCTGCTGGGTGTAATCGCGGAACGATGCCTTTTCTGATGCCAATGCTTATCATTCTGTTTGCACTTCGCCAGTGTGGTAACTAATCAGAGCAGCTGTTCGTTCACATTATCAACAAAATCAGCCAGCCGCGAATGATGGATGATAAGAAAAGCATCTAGAATAATGCCTTGCCACACGGGCAGAGAAATTGCATTTACCTCCTAATGGCTTCGGATTGAACGCGGTGCCACACAGATGAACAAAACGCGGTGCCACATGGATGAACAAAATGGCAGTCACCCAAATGCCATTGCCAAAACTCATTGGACTGAGAAATGCGCACTCTTGAAGGCACAGCTGATGAAGTAATTGTATAAAACGACATTTGATTCGACAGGAAGTAAACTTTTTGCATATTTTATTTACACTAATCACTTAAACAAGTGCTTCAAAGCTTATCCTCAGCTGGTAGACGCTGTAAAATAAATGCGACAGGTGCCATTTCCTTTTTACGCTGTGGATCTGACTAGGTTTGGCTTAAGTTGCTACACGGTCGGTTGCAACGTCGTGAAACAAAGTGACAAACGAAATCTAACAGCAGCGTACTATGCTTATTTGTACATTTATTTATTATCTGATGTGCATGAAGCTTGTAAACGCTTGTTTATTTTTTTTATTGCTACTCACCCAAGGCTCACGAGGCAGGTGCTGCGATTGGCATCATCAAGTCAAATGTCATTCGCTTTGGACATGTAGCAGTGCCGCCAAAAAAATGTAATTCGGGAACTGAATGCCTTCGCAACCGAATGTCATTTTCTATGCCTGTGTGGCACGGGTATAAGTCTCCACTCCACGATACCCTGCCTCCGTCTCGGCATTGTCTGATACGCTCCGATGGCGGACAGCTGCTGGTGCTAATGTGTTAATGCAACTGTTAGGTTCATTCACAAAAGCCGTTGTGACCATTGTTTCAGCATCGCAAAGGCGTCGCAAAGCGTAGGTGAAAATCTCGTGACACTCTTGGGAAAGAATAGGAAGCAGCCAACACTTCTTGAATTTTGGAAATAAAGGTTCCTTTGTTGGGCTAGCTCAGATTAGCTATAATATTTAAATTTTGCTACAACAAAATTTTTGCTTCTACAAAATTTTTTCTATGCCCCGTCAGTTTTGTTGTAGCGGGGTTCGGCTGTAGCATTGAAAAGGAAACATTCATTCATGAAACATTTGCTTATCAATAAAATAAGTAGCTTAATGGCAAGATAGCTGTAGTGTCTTCACTTGTGGCTTCTACTTTTCGGCTGCCTTTATAGACATTACGAGTACGTGTGCACTAACAATTAACAGTAGTCGTACAACCCATGCTTATCTGGTATAACTAGCCATCAATTTTTGCACAACTTACTATCTAGGTTTGCATGTCCTTATACACACTTGCAGTCTGTTTACCGATCTGAGCATGCTAACCAGTAATTATTACCCTCTACAGCTGGACAAGCGGGGCTCATATGAGTGCCCAGCGCCCCTGGGCAGGAGCTACAGTTCAGGACCGCAAGGCATGCAGTCAGCACCTCCTTTACCTCCAAGTCGTGACGGCTATGTCAACTTGAACCTTGAAGAATATCCCTGGTTTGCTGGCACCATGGAGAGGGAAGGAGCCACTGCCCTACTAGAAAAATCACCAATAGGCACTTTCCTTTTGCGCATAAGTGCAAAGCAGAATGGTGGTTATGCTATCAGCATAAAGTGAGTGTGACTAGGCAATTGTAGTGATCCTTTGATTGCTACAATTGGAATTTGAATCTTGGTCAAAGCATTTGCCTTACTGTTGGCTGTAGTACACAAAAAATTCCAGGCAGAGTTAAATTTCACTTAGTCATATGTGAATACATAAATATTGAAGAGAATTTTGAAATAGTTTGGTGTACCACTAATTCATAATACAAAATATGCTCAGCAGAAGCTTCTCTGAAAACTTCATTTGTTGTTCCTAAAATGTCCCTTGAGACTGTTAAAAATGAAAATTCACTAATTTGTTGGTCCATGCTAATATTAAAAAGTGTTGAATAACAAATCTAACAGAATTAATTTTGATTTGATACTCAAATCGAATTGAGTGCTATTCAATTCTATTGAGTTGAATAGCATTTGAATGTGCACTATTGAATTCGGTACTCAAATAGAATAGTGCATACATTTAAAATACCTAATATTTCTGTACAATTGGCACTGACATTAAAACCTCAAAAGAACTAAACGTTGGGACAGCAAGGAGTCATTGTTGTTGTTTTAATCATTGAATCACTCATTGAATTAATCATTGCGCCATGAAGCCCAAGTTTCTACAGTCGATCCAGGGTACCATATTCACTCGCATAATCCTCGCACTTTTTTTGGCGGAAAATCGATGCAAAGTTGGGGGGTGCGAAAATTACGCGGGAAAAACTTTCCACGAAAACGTACAGAGCGAGAAAGAAAACGAAATGGTCGCAAATCGGGATTCTCACACCAGCAGTAGCAAGCTTTGAGAAGTACTAATTAAAACTTACCTCAACATTAAAAGCACAAGTTCGACACAAGGCAAGGTTTATTTAAGACACAAAAGACGCAAGCAAATAGTCGAGAATTAGAATACCATACGCAAAGCTTGTGGGCGTTTCGGACATAACGGTAGCGTTCATCACTCAACAGGAGCCCTCAAAAGGTAAGCGTAAGACGTCAGTATTGGGCTGATGGCTATTTAACAGAACCGTTCGCAGTTTCCGTCTGAAGAAATGAAGTTTAGCATCAATCCCAGTCTTAGGCACACGGCAGGCCCAACACATTTTGGTGGCTTTCAGCTGCCGTCAACAGTAGCGAACACAAAACTCGTCGACTCCAAAGGGCCTACTGGCAGCCCTGTTTCCGTTGTTTAGTGCATGATCAATCACTTTCAACTTGAAAGCAGCCGTGTAGCTTCAGTATCGCCCCATAACGTGACTAGATTACCGACACAACAACACAAAACTTGCCGCAACGCGCACTTGCCACTTTGGCTTGGCTTGTATTGGATTGAATCTCCATGCAATAATAGTACACTTGATGCTTAAGACAATGCCTCGTGTATTAGAGGAGGCATTGCTTAAGAGATGGAGTCAGATGGCGCGTGCTATCATCATCAATGGCTGGAACGATCATACGACATTATTGCGGCAATTTTCGGGTGCGATAATTAGTCGAGGAAAAAATGAAATCATATTTTTTGTTGGGCAATGATGAAGGTGCGAGAATTATGCGAGTGCAAGGATTACGCGTCTATACACGGTATATCAAGCTCGAATATATAGAATTATTGGCTATAGCGAACAGTTGAAAAATCCCCTTGAATTTCCCATGCAAAAGTATGGGACCAGTGCACCTGTATATCGAACTCCCGCACAGTGGCACATCCACTATATCGAACGCTGCGCAGTGCCGAAGCCCAGAAAGTCCATTTTTCTAACAAGTATTGTTCAATTTTAGGCCATGTTCTAACAAGTTCCGATCCTTTTTTGCGCGCAAGCGACAAAAAAAACGGTCTCATTTCATCTCGCTGATCTGGTTCGTTGCGCGGCACTTACGTGTACGTCGGTACGTTTGATGCGCGATCTGCAGGTCTTACCGCGCGGGCATAGCGTTTTCCTAAAGACCAATTGCCCGAGAGCACTGAAAGAGAATTCGAAGCGACTCGGTGATCTCAGTGCAATGTTCGCATGTGGTTCGCATTGCCTTCCTTGTTTGTTAGCACGCAATGGCTTGCGAGCCTGGAAAGCATGGCCTTCGAGATGAGTAACCTTGTGACGTATTTTTTAAGTGTTTTCGGTTTCAGAACACGTGTCTCAGAGGCTATGCTTTTTTTTGTTGTTTTGCATCAAAGCTACTAATAGCAGCGGCTGCCAGCTACAAAGCCACAGTGACATTGATATCACCAACATGTCGACAGTGAGAACTCCGACAAACACGGTGTTGCGTCTTTTGCGCCTTGTGGCCTTCTTGCCTTGTTCCTGATAAATACTCATTTGGGTATTGAACTGAACGTTGACCTGCACAATAAAAATTATGACTGGGGCTTGGAGCGACGACAAGTAAAACACTGTCGTAAATGTTTCTTGCGGGCCAGGTGAGGACTTCGATTGTGTCATGACCGCTGACAACGGCGTACAATGCCTCAGTGAATTCTGTGACTTATCAGCATTTCTGGGCACTATCTCGGACAGTAGCGACTTCATTGGTACAGATTATGACGTTTCTGACTACATCGATGCCGAGATTTTTGCTGCCGTTGCCAGTGTCACGAAAGTGTAGCCGGGCTGTTATGAATGTGCCAACGCCTTCGCTTCTGCCGCTAACTAAGCTTTTGCCGCGCTACAGAGCTTGCATCGGCGTTCTGCGTCAATCAACGTTGTGGCCGAAAGAGCTAACTTCGCTTATTTAAAAAGCTTTAATCATATTAAGGATGACTGGAACTTAACGGCGTGCAAGCAGCAAGACAACTTTACAAACTAAAAGTGGGGTAACCTGCAGTTCGCAGCCTGTTTCTGAGCGAATCATTATGTTAGCTCTTGTAACGATTTCTGAGGCCTGAAATTCTTCAATTTAGGCCTTGAATATGCATATTTTGTATTTCGAATTCTCGGTATATCGAACTATTTCGCGATCCCCTTCGTGTTCAATGTATCCAGGATCATCTGTAAAGGACGATTGATTCTCTACTGATTGCCAGATGAAAGCAAGCTATTCCTAAAGCTTTAGTGTTGCTGTTGCACGAGTTTCATCAATCCACTATCATCATCATGAGATATGAGAAACTTTTTATTAACCATTGTTTAATATTTATGCCTCAATATTATGATGACGATAGTGACTTTGTACATCCTCGAATGCTCCAGTCATTGCTGTATTTGAGCACATATAGTCTAAAAATATCTTAACAGCTTTAATCACTGCTGTCACACAAGCTTAACCAAGTTTAATAATTGTGGCATGTTTTGTCTGTTAAATGTCATCGTAATGTTCCTTTGCTAGAATTTGTGAATATGTGTTTGAAGTAAGATGTCCGGGAACTATAAAGCTGTTTTAAAAATGGTTGCTTCACTATTTTAAAACTATTTAAATAGTAATTGATTCATATTCAATGCGGTGTCATCAATATTAGCACACCCCTACAAATTTGTTCTCCAAAACCACATCAAAGGCATAGAAGTTCACCTATGTATTTTGAAGCCACACTTTCTAGTGGAGTGTGGTCAAGAAAATGGCTGCGTGGCAGTCGTCTATTAAATCACTAATGATCACAGGTAGAATGCCTAGCTGCATGGCAGCTATTAGTTATTAATGTATTTCTCGACATTACAGTGTTAATGGTGCATATTAAAACAAATCAATCATTATAGAGGGCAAACAAAATGTTTGCCATGTGGACCATTCAAATACACTCAAACCTCTATATAACGAACATGGATACAACAAAATATTGGTAACAAATTAAATGAAAAATAGTCCTGCAATAGGTAGCCTTAAGAATAACCTTTATAACGAATTTTCAGACTTAACTAACTTATTTTCTTGTTAGATTCAACTTTGTTATAATAAAGTTTTAGTGTATTGACAAAGACACCTTAATCAGTTTTTTGTTCATACACTTCAAGTTACTTCTCTGTATGCCATAATTGCTGCAGTTCAATTAGGAGCTACAAATAATACCCCCATGTGTTCTTTTGCTTCATTATTTGTTGGCTTCATTAGGCTATTCCTAACAAATGTACGAGCCTTTCTTCCATTTCCTTTCTTTCATTCATAGGTCAATCCAGTGTTTTTCAGAAAAACAGAATTGTACATTTTCATATGAGGTAAAATCAGTTCCATAAGAAAGAAAGCTGTAGATTAGCATCATGGTTAAATAGTTGCATAAAGTAATGTATTCTGTGCAGTAGAATTAGAATCTTTTGAACTCTAGCTTACAGCCAAGTAATTAATTAAGAAAATGTTGCTCTTTCTTTCTTTTCTGAAGGTCTGAGCATCTTAATATAGCTTACTTGTTTTTATATTTTGTAAATTGCACTACAAGCTCTGGTGATGTACACCTATAATATCTGAACGAGAGAAATCAATGGCCACTTCACCTTTCATGTTATTGGCTTACTTGCTAAGTGATTCCTGTTAAGCAATACTATAAATTAATTGAATTAAGCAAGAAAAAAAGGATGGATGATTCATAGATGGCAACTGAACTTAATTTTAGGCGATAGACTCCATCAAGCTAGAGTTTGGAATTTTTTTACAATTCATTTCTCCACTTGCAAGAATTGCAATTCAAGAGACCTGAATGCATAAGGAAACCATATCGAGGCAACACATTAGTAAATTTTTCAAGGCATTGAAAAGGGATGTCCAGAAAATCACTTTGATTTTCTGGTCAACCTGGCAGTCTTGTCACCCTTGTTCTAGGGCAGCGATACTATGGACACTCTTGCTTAGCAAAATTTCTGGAATAGCTTTGTTGATAATTTTCGTTATGTAAGTAAACCTCAATTGCTTGAACCTTAAATAGAATTGGATAAAAACAAATATAGATCTTGTATGCTTAATAATAATGCACATTTATGTTTAAATTTAAAGCATTCTAATTACTATGAAGAATAAATAATTTTCAAGTTTTTTGCTTACGAACTTAGAGTTATCTTATTTGGAAGTCGTGTGTAATAAAGCGCTAATGTCTCAAATTTTATTGATTGTTTCGTGCTTTCTATTGCAGTTTTGACAATGAAGTCAAGCATATGCGAGTCTACTATGAAGACAACCAGTTTCATTTATCCAAGACGAAAATGTTTCGAAGCATAGTGGTATGTTTCACAAATTCTTTCCTGGTTATGTCGTGGTGCAGGTTTGCTTAGTCACTGGATCAATGAAATTTTTGTAGTGTGGGTTTACACCTGGAATTTATATTTTTACTTAAAGGGGCCCAGCAACACTTTTCCTGCATGGTCGGAAAACTTTGTCGATCAGTAGTCAAGGCTCCCGAGAACACGCAAGCCAGATAATATAGCGTAGCACACGGCCTGGAATTCACAACAAATTCTCAAAGTCAGCTAAAGATTGCTTTTTCTTCTCTCGACAAATGTGGATACAAACTCAAAAATTACTCGTCACACCCGTTGTATCAGCCATTGGCTTATTTGAGCATGGTGGGCTCTGTCATTACAAGGGCCACCACGGGAAGCCACAACTTGTCCAAACGTTCATGCGCCATGGCACTCAAAAGCCGTGTATTTGAAGGGAAAAAAAAAACAAAGAAAAAGTGAACAAGGTCACGAAGCGCTCAAGATGTATTTTCTTTCCCCGTGTCATCCCTCCATGCTTAGCTTCCAGCACTTTTGTCCAAACAAGGGTAGAGGCAATGTAATAGCAGCGTGCGGCAAATCTTTGTAACTCTGCTCGGACTGGATGGTTTCTAAACATTTTTGTACCCATGAATTCATGAGGCAATAAGCAGCTTCAGTGAATCTATTTTATGGCACCTTGAAAAAGTTTTGCAAGGCCCCTTTAAAAAGGTACTGACATAAAATTTCGGGGCTGAGATAGCCCGCGGGGTTGATTCTCATGAACATTTGTATATCATCTGCAAGATATCAACAGTGAATATAGCTTGGAAGCTTTTTTAATTTAATTTTGAAGTTTGCGTGAGCGACCGACTGCATAGCGCTATAAACACCCTAGGAGGGGACCCCGAGGTTGCCCCTACTTCCCTCACGTCGCCACACTGCGGTCAACAAAACAAGTTATGATGACGTCATAGCTGCCATTTTTATTTTGCCGTGTTAGTTCCCAAAGCCTATATTTTTTGGCAACTAGTTGTGAGTGCGTGGCCGTGGTGCACGCTTAGAAAGTTTTGTGCTTGGCGACATTCTAGTCCCGTTTCCTATTCGAAAGTAATTCTTGATGCGGACCATGCGGAAGTGCGTCACAGTTCTGTGTGCTGACGTGGTCAAGAGCTGCACACGCTAGGTGACGATAGTTGCACCCAGTTTTTGGAACTCTCTCAAACCAAAACTGAAACTGATTGATAATTAGGGGCCTGTAATTAATTATCTGTCGTGTGCTGCAGCAAAAGATGTGTCGTGTCATGACTAACAGGCCCCCAGCAGCGCATTGCAGCAGAAAAACGCGAGGCCAAAGTTCTTGTGTCAGTTCCCCTTTAAGACACACTTGGATGTGCTAGTCATATTTGACACAAGTGCAGATTACACATCTCTATCCCATATTGTGTAGAAGGGCTACAAAAGCATTTTTTTTTCCTATGTCCTCGCTACCTTCGACCACTTAATTCACATTTATTGAGAATAAATTTTGTGCAGTTGTATGCATTGTATGATGAGGAGGGGCACTTCAAAGATACTCTTTGTAGCAAAGTTACTTATTGTCATAATAGCTGGAGTTATTGTCAACTAAGGTAATTAAAATCTCTAGATGAGGTGAGTTGATTTCCTCTTCCTCGACTAGCTTTTACACTAGTTAGGAGAGAAGGTGTCTGAGGTTCGGAATGGGCGCCCTTGATAACTCGTGTGCTAAGTGGCAGAGCGAAGGAAGAACTGTTGTTCAGCGAAGAGATGCTTTATTGCAGCACTCGGGCGTCTGTCCAGGTCCAAGCCCGAACCTCCACTCTCATTTTTACATCCAAACACCCTCTTTTCAACCTTCAGTCAAACAAAGGGTCTGCACACAAGCCAATTACATGTGGGGACTTGCATCACCACAACCAATTGCAAGAACACTTTCATACCAGACACTGGATTGGTAAAAAAACTATGACCCATCTCCCCGAAGGGAACCCTGATGGGATGCGAAGCTGCAGTGGTGCTCAGTGCGTTGACCCGGTTGAAACGGGTGTTGACGCGGGTGCTGGAAGAATGGTTTGAAGTGAAACTCGGTGTAGAGTTTACTCAAGTTAATGTTTGTTTGAAACGCAAAGCCACAGGTGGCGGGACGCATTGAAGATGCTTGCACTCGGCTTCCTTGGCTCGCGTCTCGTCAGTGTTACCCGCGCGCCATCTGTATTCTCGAACGCGATCGGTATTCTTGACTCGCACCTCGTCAAGTCGCTGGTCTTCCACTGCCGACGCTTGCGTTCTGCTTCTCTGGCTCGCCCCTCATTATTGTTGACGTCGTCATTTGCGAACGCGATCGGCTTCGCTAACCCTCGCAACGCGGGCTGCAGCAGGGAAGGGTACGCACACACTAGCTGGAAACATGCCGCGACGGCATCCCGCCTGTCGGCGCCATCGCGTGGCAAGCAGTGACGCGCTGTCCACATTGTTGGTACCGTGAGATTCTCGAGGCGCGAGCAAGACACACACCCGCCAGCTCGCGGCTGCTTCATACCGACCAATGGAGAGAGGTGGTGCGGGTGAGATGACGCTCTTTTGGGGAGGCTATCCTCTTTTTGCCTCAAACTGGGGGCAACTTTGACGGCTCTGCTCATGACACGGGTGAACGACGGAGTCTCCTTTCTTTTCCATGCGCAGGTCTTTCGTGTTCCCCTTCATGAAACTGATCGGTGCCGTTAGTTGGTGGGTCGGGAAGTCGCTCCGCGTTCCGCAGCACCCGCATAACTTTCGCCACACAACACCCCGACTTTGTCTACCTCTTACTAACTAGGTGTATTAAATATACTTGCTTTAGGTTGCATTCATAACAAGCTTTCTAAATACAAGCTATTACAGCAGTGACTTGAAGAATAGATGGTTTTGCTTGTTTTGTTTGGTAATATCGCTAATAATGTTTTTTAGTATGATGCCCTGTCTGCCCCGTCGAGAAGACAACTTTGTACTAAGTCTATTTAGATTAAATTAAGGGAAATGGCTCAATTATAAGAGGACTGTTAGCACATTCTGAATCGGAAACAACTAAGCTCTACGTTGTTCTATCTATTTATTTATTGTTTACTAGTGCTACCTTCACTTATGTATGTTCACTTTAAAGCAAAACACAAACATTTGGCAGGACTTGGCAGGGTGAATTCGTGTACTAGATAGTTGTACACCATCTATATGTATGAATTGGTCTTGCTTTTTTTTTTTTACTTACAGAATAGCTAAATAAAAGCTCTTGTGATTAGAGATCGAAAAGATGTGCACACTAAGGAGCATACAATGGTAGCATATTTTCATCATTTCTACTGCTAAAAAAATGAAATAGTCTTTGTTTTTGTCATAGCACACATATGATGGTATGTCAACTTTTAAAATTAAATCGCGAATTTGCTGGAAAAAGTTGGGCATTTTCAAATTCATGTTGACAATTGTCACTTGTGTGGACTTAATGCTGAAAAATTTACCACGTTTGATGTTTTGGGGTTCGAGTACATTTTAAGGACACGTGCTTACCTTTCTATCTGCCGTTGCAGGAGCTAGTTTCATGGTACGAAACCCACAGCCTCTCGGAAAGTTTTAGGGGACTTGACATTTCCCTTCTCATTCCATTTAAAAATGTTGTCAGCACACCAATCACAAATGGAACGGGTAAGTGCTACTATCAAAGTTCTGGCTAATTATTGGTTCCTCTAGAACTTGCCTCATGCGAGACAACCAGATCTAGTTTTGAATTAATGCACTCCTTATTGACCTGTTAGGCCCCTAGCGTTAGCACTATAGGAAACAGGCGAATTGTAGTTTATACAAGACTATAGGCCCAGCTTCTGTATGTATCGTGTGGGTAGGTGAGGTCTTCACAGATGCCATCGCACACTTATTGCAGAAGAAGAAAAAACAGTAAAAGGATACTATAACATTTTAAAGGAAGTGCCATATCAGAAATGAAGCCCTCATGTGATATCCCATAATAATCCATGTCATATTTCATACATTCTGCCTTCATTATTGATTCATATCTTAGTTTGATATCATTTGCACTGGTAATTAGCCACTCATTGAAGCTCATAAATAAGAAGAGTAAGAATGAATAAAAAATTGAATTCAAGAATTATCATACTAGTTTTAAGAGCTTTTCGATGACTTGCATTTAAGAAATTCTCGCAAACAGTTTTGCATCTATTTGCTTAGACTTGAGGTAATTCAAGCTCTGTTTATTAGAACAAATTTCAAAACGAATTTTGGTTGGCCTGTTATGTTTCTAATGTATTATGTGCTTCTAATATATATGTAGTTACTGCTTAATTCAAACCATGTAATTTTATAATTCTAGTAACTCATGCTTTTTGCTTATCCCTGTCAGAAATATTCTCTATCTCAATTCTTTATAGTTAAAGATTCGGACTCCTATATTTTTAAAACAGCCAAAAATAAAGCCAACTGCCTGCCTGCACTTTTCAAGGTGTTCAAAATCTGGAGCGGAAAATAAAAAAGTGACAGTGGCAACGTACATGACAATTGATTACTTTGTCTTTTTCTGATATGCTGCACCAAGTTATCTGACAATTCAAACAAAATTCCTCTCCAGTTCGAAGTACCAACAGTCAGCTGCATAATATCAGTCTATTTTTTCACTTTCTTACTTTATATTCTGCATGTTGCTGGTTTGTGACTTGGGGAGGATGCACTGTAATAAGCTTACGTTTAAAAAAAAATATGCCAACAAGTATATACTATTTTGCTTGTTCCAGCTTCTCCATTTTCTTTATCCTTTGCCCCTTCTCTTCTGTCATCTTCATTTTCATTTGGCTCTGGTAGAGGGTGCAAGAAGGTTACCCACATCATAGATCATACAAAGTCAACTGTACCAGACTGTGTAAGAAAACAAGCACTCATACAACTACAGCATGATGTGACTATAAACAACCCAAGAGTGTTTCCATTCTGCAGATTACCTCCGCTTTGGTCTTCAGTGAGAGGGCCTATAGAACATGTATAGCTGTATGTTAGATTATCCTTGTGGGCACAGTCATGTCCATTCAGTCTGTTCATGTTCAGTCAAGCTCACAAGCTATCCTTCTTTTTTTTTTCTCTTGCACTTAAATACTATAGTTAGATACAGCTTAAGAAGTCCGGAGAGGTGCCGCCCAGATGGCCGAAGTGCGGCCACTGATTGCCTTGCCTCTGTGACTAAAGAGTCACACTCACACTAGGCAATGTTCTCTAAAAACAGAGTCAGCAGCCGTCTGGCTCATGACGTTATTTCAGATAGTATGCCCATAGGTGCAAGCTTGTGTGCATCCGCCTTTGATGAGAAAATGCTGTACTTCCGAAGTTCTATCCAACTGTAGAGCGTTGTTGTTGAAGCCAACTGCTCTGTCATCTGGTTTCGGCTTTTTGTTGCATGCTCTTGTGTGCATCTTCATATTTTATCTCCAATTTATTTCTCCACATTGCAAAGTGCACATTCTAACTTTCACATATTGCATTCACTCATGAAAGGCCCTCAAACACATTTCATAGGTTAGAAATATAAAAAAGAACAAGAAAGGAAAGAAAAAATTCGACTAAGCTCACACATGATCGAGTGCTGCTTTACGTCCATAAGCTGCTAACAGATAGCACTAGTTGTCCTGCCAGTGAAAGTGTCATGATCACTGCATATGCTGTCATCTGGTTTCGGCTTTTTGTTGCATGCTCTTGTGTGCATCTTCATATTTTATCTCCAATTTATTTCTCCATATTGTGCAAAGTTCACATTTTAATTTTCACATATTGCATTCACTCATGAAAGGCCCTCACATGCACTTCGTAGGTTAGAAATTAAAAAAAGAACAAGAAAGGAAAGAAAAATTTGACTAAGCTCACACATGATCAAGTGCTGTTTTACATCCACAAGCTGCTGACAGATAGTACTAGTTGTCCTGCCAGCGAAGGTGTCATGATCACTGTATACTACAATTGGCGTCCAAACTACCTTACTACAATTTTCGTGGCAGACTCCAACAAAGCAGTGCTGCTGATGACGTCTGGCCAAAGAATATAGGCGGCAAGCCATTGCAAGATGTTCACTTTTAATGTGTCTGTACCAATAGACTACCTAAACCATTTGGTGTGAGACTACATTCATAGAGCTGGGTCGATAGTCTTATGCACAAAGTGGAGTTGAAGTTTACAAGAGGCGTGCCGAAAAATATACCATGAATACAGACCCAATTAATTTGTGTACCTACTGAACAGAACTGCCTAAGCTGGCATGTGGACAGGTATTAAAGCCAACAGAGCACCAAACTGATTCTGTGCAGCACAGCTGAAACTGTGGTCAAGTAATGTACATGCAGAGCATCTGCACTTTAAGGTGGCCTTTAACACGCATCACCCTGAGTCATATATGAAACCAAGCTCACTCTCAGCTTTCACCATCGCTATATCTCATGACTGAATGAACGAACTTATGATATGTTCTGTATGATATGTTTGTTTTCATGAAGAGTTTTCATGTATGATGTCTACCTGTAATGCTTTATTTGCAGTGACAATTATGTACATTCATGTTTTGATTTTGCTGGTTGCTCCATTGTTTGTATACTCGCATAGCATGCAAACATGTACGCGCATGCCGAATGCGCACGGGAGTAGGAGCCTCTGTCAGGCAATACGGCCTTTAGCTCTTACTCCTCTTTCTGTATCAGAAAGAAATAAAATAAACTTCGAGCTTCAAACTTATTTGAAACTGGTCTGGCAGTTTTCCTTTGGGTGGAGCTGGGGGAAGAGGAGATTAGTCCTTGTCCTGTTCCACCCCCAACGATGATGGTGGCAGCGGAGGTGCTTCAGGTGATGGCTTGAAGTCCTTGGACCAAGTAAAATTTATTTCATTGGTGCAATATGCTGAGCGAAAGCCTGTAGCCAAATTCTTATGCTTCACTGGCATTCACAAGAACAAATAAACCGATTTGACCATCATATTTAACTTTTTGAGACTGCTGAACTATTCAGACATTTTTTAGGGCATCATTTATGTCCAAAATGCTACACAGGTGCTTATAAATGGGTTCATAGTCATCTGAAACTGGTTGCATTATTGGTCTGAGCATAGTATGTTTCAGCAATTACTTACCATAAGTTTGCCTCGTGTCAGGCCTGCACCAAGTGAAATATTAAAAAAGAAATGCACAGGTTTTGCACTAAAAAGTATGGTGTTTACGACACTGGTTTATTGTGTCAAATAATTATTTAGTTTACATTGGTGAAGGAAACAGCACAGAAACCAATGAGGATGAAAAGAGCCACACAGTGGACAAACACATGATGTGCCTGTCTTGGTCCTCGTGGGTATTTGTGCTGTTTTCTTCACTAAGTTGAGCCAACAAGGCAAAGTGGGAACTCTGCTAGTTCACACTGCTTTATTAGACGCTCTATTCAGCATATTTATGTTTTTTATTGTTTTTTAAAATCTGCAGTGGAACACTTGGGGCATGCAGTGGCATTGCACAACTTTCAGCCAACAACGGAAAGCATGCTGGGTCTGGTCAAAGGTGATGTGGTTACGGTGCTCAGCAAAGCGGGTCAGGAAAAAGGCTGGTGGAAAGGTCAAATTCAGGAGCGTGTGAGTAGACCAAACTTTTTCTACAATGCTTCAGTGTTGTGCAACATGCATGCTTTTCAATGCTTCAAAATTTTGCGAAGTAGACGGCACTTTAGAGAGCAATGGCAAACACAGAGCGTTGCACTACAGGTATTTAATGTTTCAAGTATTAATAATTTCCAGTGCCCATATATCAAACATTAAAACAGGCCTCTTTCTTATCAGCCATGCACAAGCAAGACAAGGAAAATAACCACTGTAAAACTTGCCAGGCGGCTATGACAGGCGAGAAAAATATGGCAGGCGTGCAGGGCTCACAAGAATTTTTGAACAATGAATAGAACCTTTGGCTTTCACAATAGCTTTCTTTTGCTTAACAATGAAAAATATAAATACACTTCAAAACAGGTACATAAAGAGAAAAAGGTGGCCCTATTATTTTAGGTTATTTTAGGTTTTGCTTATTCTTCCGAATTCATGCCAGGATTGGCATGGGCTGTGTTGTAGATTTTGACTAATGTTTTCGTTAGCCTTGCAGATAAAATGGTCTTGTGCACTAAAAAACAGTACTATAATTAGTGCATTTATTCTGTAATAGTGTAAAGAGAATCTACTGTATTAAATTGTAGTGGCTGCTCTTCTTGACAGCTGGTGTTGCCAGCCACATTTTTTTGTGACATTTTGAGTGGAGGGATATTCTAGAATAAATGGTGCAGCCACCAAGCCCGGGATGTGACTAATGTGGTTCGGCTGGATTACATTTGGATGGATTGCATTGATTTGCCTTACTCAAATTGAAGACATGGTTTAAAACGTAAACTGCAATAATGTAAATAACACTGTTTACACAGGTTGGCTACTTTCCCTGGCAGTATGTGCAAGAGCTTCCAACTACCAGCACTGAATGCTAACTCGTGTGCTTGCCACTTCAAATTCTGCTGGAAGTTTGTGGCTGCCCATTTATGGCCACGAATTGCAGAAAGCAATAGGATCTTGTGTGACAAGCATTTGTGTATTTAAAGGAAGAAACAGATACCGTGAATATAAGAGTGAACCTTATTTCATTTTTGTTATAACTATGTGAAATCCTGTTGTACATGTACTGTTGCTCTGTTTGTGTGATTTCGGCTCCGTTTCTTTTTAAATGCCTGGAAATTTCACAATGAGGGACACAAATTGGACATGCACTAACTTTCTCTATTGTGCTGTCTAAGTGATGGATGTGTAAGTTATAGACTCATGCATGCCCTTTACCTCAATATACTTTACTACAAGGCTGTATTTCTCAATTCATTTTATTTTAAAGTCATCAATGAAGTTCAACTCTTGCTTTTTCTCCCTCAAAATGTCCCCTCACATCGGCCATAGCAGTGTGTGGCCAGAAGGTGTAGCGCTGCAGGGAACACTTTTCTGGGTCTTGTAAGTGTAAATAAGGTCTTTAAAAGCCCTTTCCTATTGAATCCCCTTTAGGATTCCAAAGTGTGTTGAAATTGCATATTCAGCTTCTGCATATGATGTTGCAAATTGTCAGGAGAAATTAGCTAAGCCAGTCTGTTACGTTTACATTTTTTTTTTGCTGAACTAGCTCCAACTTTGCTATTGTTAGCAAATTTTCCACTTGTAATGCGGCTTGTAATGACAACAGCTTTTGTGTAGCTATTGTCATTATCGTAATGTTTCATGCTTTATTGGTGACCATTCTGGGTGTGCTGAGCAGGCACACTATAAGCTAGGCACTTGGTCACTGGAAAAATAGTGGCATAGACAATTTCTAAGTTGCGTTGGTGGCATGCAGCCTGCCGACAGTAGAATATGGCAACAAAATTAAGTTTACATGCATGCACAACATTTTTTTTTAATCTCACAATTTTTTGTGACCTGTTAACCACTGTCGTAAAGATGCCTGCAACAAAAAAACAAAGATGTGGCCAGGTGTATAGCATGAACATGAGCATTGATCTTGTTCAGTGAGCATCTGAAATCATGCGACCTGATATCTATGCTACAATTATTTTCATCACAACGAATATATGATGTCGTGATAAAATGTGCTTTTGTTACTCACATGTCCTCTATTATGAGTGGGAAAAGTCGCAGAAACATCATTTTAGTGCTATTGTAGTGCATCTATGTGTTTAAAACCCTCATCACTTACTATGTATGCCATTGGCCTTAATATGCATTTATCAAAAGATGCCAGCAAGAAAAAAAAAGGAGGGGGGGGGGGGGTGAGCATGTAGGGAATAGAAATGTAGGCAGAATAGTGCCCAATGTTTGCACTTCCTTAAGTAATAGCCATTTGACTATTTCTGTATTCACCCTTACCCTATCAGGGTGAAGCTTCATGGTTGTTCTACATGGCAAAGCAGTGAATAGACACTTGAAAAATGTTTTCTTGTCAACTGCTGTCTTGTCAGCATCCTGCTTCTTGTGCTGTATTTTGCTTCTCAATCTTGTTTCTAGTGTTTCTCTGCAGTAAGGTGTGAGGTTGTGCATTTCTCATTGCCTGGTGTGTTCTTTTTGATTGTTCAGTGCACCCCTCCTAGTCATGGCTGTTATTTTTCTCTAGTTTTTTGTCATCAGTTTTTATATGCTTTTATAACTCTTTCAGCTTTTTGTATGGCAAGTGGTCATTAGCTTGTCCTACAGTCTAGCTTTATCTTATCTACTTCAGATGGTTTACTAAAACTCTCATTCAGATAAATGTTGACGTTAGAATAGCGAGTTTAATATTGAAAGTGTGGCTGCACCATTTTGCTATTTGTGCTCCACCATATGTTTCAATGAAACTCATTTTTATTGAACAAATATATGCCATGTTTCATAATGGATCCTAAAATTCTGTTACACATAACACGAATGAACAAATTTGTTGCCAAGTGTATCAAGTGTCATTAATGTTTATCAAAGTATTTTTTCCAAACTAAAATGGTGCACAAAGGCCCCTTACTGCATTCCAATGTTCGATGAAATGAGAAAAAGAAGTTTGCTCACCAAGGTGCAGCTGACACATTTCGTAGCTTTAGAATTGTATTGTGACATCGGAAGGCAGATTGGTGCTATTGTTTTTCACCAGTCCATCATTGATATGAACACAGACCTAGCCAAACAAACAAAATACTTCTTCAGTGATGAGAGTTGTGTCCATCTTGGTGGCTGTTCATTTGCCTTCGGCGTTGCCTTTGGCCACAACTGTACAGTGCCGAAATCTTTGCTAGGCCAGTCACCATTGGAAAGGGCGGCTGCACACTTCAGTGTTAAAGAAGTACTGGCATGATGTTTTCAGCTGTCATTTTTTTTGTCTGAATCAAGGTCCACAACTATGAAATAGATAGTGGAAAGTGCCAAAGTGCTCTATAAACATAATTATGAAAATTATAAATGCATAAGAAAATTATGTATACATAATTTCTTTCAGTAATTGCCTCTATTAAACAGTTTCAGTTTCAATACCTTGGAGGTGGAAGTGTCATGATCTGCTGGCTCACTTCAGCCTTGGGATTGCTGCTGCTGGCACATGAGATTGCAGGCAGAAAAAAAAAAAAAAAGTGATGAGTGCTTTTGTTTTGTTTTTTAACTAACATCATCACACCAAGTCTTATTTGTGCACAATGTCAGCAAATATTTATCTATGTAACGACACCACAGTGCCAATGAAACCAGGCGTTGCATTTTGAGATCAAATTTAACATCAAATCAATAGGAACTTGTGCCTCCTAGCATTCAAACTTACCATAACCCATTTCATCTGAGAAGCATATGCTTCTAAAACTCTGAAAATATGTGTCGTACTCCTTCAACCAGAAAGCAGCAACATTCCTCTACACTTTCTTTTGCATCTATATAAGCTGACTATTGCTAAGTATGGCCACTTTCCTGCGCTGCTGCAGGCGACTGATGTTATGAGTGAGCTGGTGAAAGTTGCAACTCCCCTTAGTGTAGGCACTTGTTGTGTGATGTACCTGATCAACTCTTTTGCTGCAGCCATTGCCGCAGTGTGTAGCTAAGCCTGTATTAGGCCGTCGGCTCCATCAAAGGTGCTGTGCAACCAGCCCTTCTTTCGGGTGTCGTGCAGCGCCTATGCTATTGCTGTTTCGCACTCCAGAGGGATCACATTTAGCTTGCCTGCCGCAAGTGTACCTGCTCTACTTCTTCATTACTGGCATGACCCCCGCTTTTTTTTTCAGAGAGGGAGCATTATAGTAACCCTTTCTTGACCTTGCACCTATCTTGCACGACCATTTTGTAGTGTGTACTGCAAATATTCTTGTGCACCTTTCGGAGGTTTACAATCTTATTTCTGTGTGTAGGCCTGCCAAAAGGCTCGCAAAGAAATTTTAATCCAGTGTAACATGTTTGAGATAGTATGTGAAACACCCTTTTCTTGTTCTGTCTGTGTAAAGCTTACACCTATCAAAACTCGACCTGTGAATGCCTCTGGCACGCTAGTTGCATTTTTGTGCTGTATAAGGTACGTCCGAACAGTGTCTAATCACACATCTTAAAGATCACCCCTGTATACCTGACCTTCATCCTCGAGGTGCCATTGGCATTGACAATACACTTTTTCTGTATATATGCACACGTTGATGTTTATCTATTGTATTGTGAAAACTCTTTTGTGCTAGAAAAAAACGTATTCACTGAAGCATGCTTAGCAAAAAAAAAAGGTTACCGGTGATGTCAGATTCTATACATAAACATAAAGAAAAACAGCTGGGGGCCTGATATTCCAGTAGGGAATGTTAGTTACCATTATTTGTCTTATTTTTTTGGTACAATATCCTGGAATGAATACCATGTTGTGCAAGGATATGCCAACATAGTGCACTCTTGTGCTGCCTTGCATCTAATCTTGCATGCTTGCTATGGTGTATTCTCTTTTAGACTGTTTAAGTGCTCATAGGTCTGTTATTTTATCTTAAAAGGGTACTTTTGTTTTGACTTTTATACAAGCCCCTTTTTCAGTAGTGACAGTATCATGCGATCACTGAGTGAACAAATTACTTTGAATTGTTACAAGTATGACAGCACAGTTACCACATATTAAACTTCTTGTAGCAATTCATACTATCAAAAACTATTCAGCAGATAGAGCAATGTGTCATTTCTTTAAGATCCAAACATAATATTCTGTAACAGCTTATTATAACTAAGACAACACAGACCCACTTATTTTGTTTGTTTTTCAGTTTTTTTAACAATGCTTTTACATCTGCGGTTAAAACAGCACTGACGTGGCAATTGAAGCTTTTTTTTATTATTCTTATTATTACATTTAAGGTTTTAGATCTTGAAATCCCAGAATAAGTACAGGCAGTCTCAAAATATCATACATAATATACAATGGTAATAACCTCTTAAACAGTTTCATTTCATCAGTAGGTGTATGTGTGCCAACAAAGACGCACAGGGTGCTCACCTGGGAGCAGGACATTGCTACATTTTGTTGTTCGTCATGGCTCACTTTGTTGTCTGCCTTGCTGCTACTTATTGTGTGGTCTAATGCAGCAGCATAACAGACCACTAGGCAAGCCAGTGGGATGTCACGATGTCTCAATGTCTTGCTACCACCTGACCGCCACTTCTTGAAGAAATAAAACTGACTCTTAAGATGTTATTATGATAAATTACATAAGTGATATAGAGGCTTATTTGAGTCTTTCTTGATTTTTTAAATATTCATGGCTGTTAATTTTTTAATTAACATTATAAAATGTCATCTCATCACAATGACATCATTATTATTGGAGCTGCTGTAAAGTTTAAGCAACTTTTGAAAACTGATTGAGATGTCTCAATCATCCTAAAGTATAAGGGACATCATTCATATGCTCTAACCAAGAGCCGTCCAGGAGATTCATATTTTTTCTAGCCTGTCGGGTGATGTATGTGCCAAATGCGTGATGTGGATTACTGTGCCAACATATATTACAGCGTGAATGTTTGTATACAGAGCTATTATAGGGACAAGAATGGCACATCTCATTAGCTTGAGCCAATGTATGCTTTGTTTGAGCCTGTTGCAGTGCTATTTGCCAGTTCTGTTATTCAGCAGTTGCACTGAATAAGGCTGAAGTCAGAAGGCTCACACAATGTGTGTATTCTTCGTTAAACACAGGTGTCATAAGAGCATTTTGATCTATGTATAAAGAAGATAAGTTCCGATATCTATATTAATTTTGTACTATAATGCTCCCAAATCAATGCTGAACATGTAGATACTGATCGCTATGTTATTTGTTTTGAGCTTGTTTTGGCAACCTGAATTTACCCCAATGAAATATTGCCACTGTCAATTCACATTTTATTGTTGTATTGTTTTTTGTTAAGGTAATAAAATATCTTTTTTTCTATATTTTGTGGAACTGTGATTGCTTATAACATTTATTTTAATTCACAACTCGATAGAGTAATTCAAAACTTGCAGTAGCTGCAAGTTTTAAAACTTAATTCTGAACAAACCTGGAGCCCGAAAGCCTTTCTGAAAAGGGCCCCAGACACACTTCAAATTTTGTGATGCAGAAATGGCATAGAATATAAAAAGCGGTGTAAAATGTTTGTGCCTCTAGAAATTTGCTTGCGGCACACAGTGGGTCCCCGTTTTTTGGTTGCTCATCTATGGCACACCATTAATTTATAGATGATAAATACCGCCGAGCCACTTGCGACTTATGGTGGCACTACAAGTGCATGAAGACTAGTGAAGACTACTCAGTACAATCTCTGCTTGTCTAGGTGTTTTCTTGTGGCCTGTAGAACACTACAAAGTAGAGGTGTGTGAATAGGGATCATACCAGCTCGAATACAAATATATATTGAATATTATTCTAATAACTTTCGCATAGTAAGGCAACCATTTTCAAGACAAATGTAGAATGTTTTTTTTTTATTTTAGAATAAATATACACAGAAAGTAACACCATTGCATTTAAAAGGTATACACTCATGTAAACTGAGGTAAGCTCGTATACAGTGGTGACTAGAGCCATGGAGGTATTTTTAACTGCAGCTTGAACACTGGAGTTGCATTAGAAATATTCAATATGATATTTGGCCACCAGCTTTTAAGTAACACTACGACCTAGAAGCAAAAATTTTATAATCCTCAGTTTGTGCATATCGCTACCCCTTAGCAGCGGGAGGCCACGCTGCTCAGCTCCGACCTAAAAACACCTGTCGGTCGCGAAGCGGGCACAGGCAGCCGCCAAGGTCTCCTGGCCACCTGATCAACAGTAAACTTTCACACACTAAATATCAGCTTTATGTGTATGGCGCCAAGTAAATGTTTTTCCTCCTCCCGTAATAGAATCACCTGTATGGTCTTGGTAATTCACTACTTAAGACAACAAAAATTATCATAAGCTCGTCAAGTGTTGGTTCTTTTGGGGGTTTTTTCATCTGTGCTGACTGTTCTAAAATTATCTGAAGAAACTATTCAGTAGATTAAATATGCACTGTTTTATTTGAGTACCCAATTGAATAGAATGTTATTTGATTTGTTATGCAAAAGTTTTGAGTATTCGCACCCCCTTGTGCAAGAGTAACTTTGTGATTTGCCTTCTATTTTTGCTGCCATTATTTATTGATTTCTTGAGCTGTTAGCCCACATGACATGGCCAAAATAAGAATACTTTAATCTTGGGACCTTTGCCTTGGAAGACATTAAAGATCGACCTCCCTTGGGACTGATATATTTGTACCTTAGCAGTACATGGAATTCTCGGAACTCTGAAACATAACTGTGGTGAAGAATTGAGCTTTTATTTTCTTTTGCATTTTCACATGATCCACAAGTCATCCCTTTACGTCATGAAAGAAAAGCCAGAGTTATTATTTTAGTGTTGAGGCCAACATTTTTGTCTATCTTGCTTTGATCCCATAGAAACGGAATGTGGCACATTTGTTTTAACTTTATCTGAATTGCCAGTTCTTAACCTGTTGTCATTAGTCTAGAAAAGGATCAGTTTAGAAAAAAGTTTAGAAAAAGACTAGCCTTCTGGTTTGTTTCTTACGTTTAAAATAACGATTTTTCCAACTCTTTAATGTTTTCTATCACTAAAGTACTATTGTTAGCACATTGCAGGTTGGTTATCTTATTGTCTTAATTTTTAATTCGTTACCCATCCTTTAATTCTCACTTTCTGTGTTCATATGTCGTGTAATAAATAAAAATGTAGAATTACAAACCTGTCGGAGAATTTTTTAATGTGAAGCATTTATTTGCTTACAGCAGGCACTTTGAGCATCTGTCTGTCTCTAAAATTAGTATACGGGGGGTAGAATGGTTTGACGAATATGATTCGCTGGTCATGACATGAATAGTGTCACAATCCTGTCGCGTACATCGTCAAACTGTTTACACAAATTCGTAGCACATACCCGCGGGCAGGTATCTGCCACAGGTGATTTGATTGACAGTTTTTATTTACCCAGGAACTATGAGAACAGACATGGGTAATTTTAAGACGCGAGCGTCGTCGACCCGATGAATAAAAAGTATCAGAGTCCCAGTAGGAATTGAAGCCCGTCATTCTGCGTGGCAATCAAGTATTCTACCACATAGCCGTGCAAGATCTGAGAACTACTTTTCAAGTAGACCCAGGGTTTGTGAAACATCAATTACGGTTGCGGTGCTGGCTATCCGATTTTTTAAGCAATACATACAGCTGCCACGTCGTTTCAACGTCTGTTGGAGTTAGGTGCTATCTGCTAAAATTTATTTATGCAGCAGTGTCCAGGGCTACCATCCTCGCAAGCACCAGCACTTCACATCGGCTTACTGCTTCTGGTGCTGCTAATATCCATGTTGCTCTTGGCATCACTACGCAACTGTAAATAATTCATCATATAAAACATATGTGGCTGTTTAACATATGCCTTTGCATGAATTTGTACATATCGTAAGTGCCACTTCATAATGTTTCGTAAAAATTACATCACTGTCACCTTTCATCCCCATGCTTCACAAAACATAGACTCCCAAGGTAGGTGGGATCTTCCAAAATTTTGTTTTAATATCAAACCATTATGCATTATGAACATTTGTCTCAACAAATGTTGGTAATGGCTGGCCATTTTTCCATTTTCCAAGGATACATCCAGAGCTTGCAGAGGTAACACAGTCAAAAGCTTTGCCATAGTCAACACTATTCTTACATAGCAAAGATACAAAAGCTCTTGGTATTCTTTACATAAGCAATTTCATGTTTGCAATGTGGTTTGTCGTACTGTGCCCTTTTTTTCACCCCACTTGCACACTCGCCATCTCTTTGGTAGCTCTGAATTTCATGGTCCTGCAACTGTCGAGGAAGCTCATAAGATCGTGTGAGAATTGATCCATTGAGTGAGCTCCAAGAGCAGCATAGCCGATCCTGTGTGTGTACAATCTTTGTAGGATGACTACCAGTTGGGCATGTTGGTACAGGTTCCTGATGAAATAAGCGCGAATATGTTTGAAGACTTAAAAAGGACACAGGACGGAGCACTTACTAGCAAGTGGAAATTTTTATTTCAATAAGAACACTCTTATACATGCATAACATGCATGCGCATCACCACAAACCACCCCTATTATCACAGTGTGAATCAATGAAAAACCGCTCCGACAACCAATGAAATATTATGGGAAAACACGGGTTAAACACCCAAAAACACAAAAAAAGAAATGCACTGAGTCATGTTACGTCCAGAAAGCAATTTCAGAATATGTTATCAGAAAAGAGGCATGGCAGACGCACTTGTCACCTCCTTTCTTAGTTCGAAATGCTTTTATTATTTCTCTTGTTGTCCACTTCTTGTACTTGTCAATTATTTCTGTGTCTGAAAGTTTTGGCTGGCAAGAGCACTTCTTGCAGTCTATCTCTAAGTGCGAGTATGGGGCCCCCTTTAATGGGCTCTATTGTTCTCGAAGGCATGCATTTATGCAACAACCTGTTCGACCCACATATTCCTTTGCACATGTGAAATGAATTTGGTACATGGCATCTTTTTTGCACTCAACATACTTCCTGCCCTGTTAAATGTTTTTTTTTTCATGCTTTTCTTTTTGGCTAACTTTCAATTGCTGGGCTAATCTTCGACAACTTGTTTTTGGCTGAAAAAACAACACCCACCCTATACCTTAGTGCAACGTTTTTCAACCGATATGAAATGTTATGCAGATAATGGAAGACCACTGTCCGCTCTTTTTTACTCTCAACTGCCTGTCCTTTTCTCGTGCGCTGAATATTGTTTTCTTCACTTCTCGGAGATTCTTTACACAAGCCAATCGTCTGCATAACCAGCTCTCCTCAAGCGCTCGATCTGCGTGGAAACACTCTCATTCATCCCAGATTGTACATTGAGCTCATGTACAATCTTGGTCTTCTTTCAGTGAAATCGTATACTCCAGACCCCATCCTACCCGGCTTCACCTACTCGGTCCCAACCAGCATTACCCAATTTACCACTTTTACAGACAATCCTAGACACAAGGCAGACGGTCAGTGGATGTGATAATCTCCTCTTAACAAACATTAATACTTTTGATGCTCCACCTCTCTACATACGAGCTTTGTGAAAGAGCCTTGGCGAAATACAACCTAGAGGAGTGTAGGCCAAAGCCAATGAAATATGTTGTCATAAAAAATATAACTGACCTGTATAAATCTAACTATAGACGTAGCCCAAAATTTGTTATAGTCACATCTACCCAAAAATTGCCTTAGCCCTTTTGCAACCGTTGGTGAGTTTAGTCGTCATGATTTTCTAACAGTATGACTGATGACAACTATACTCATCATCAACAAAAATTGTTTCCATATGAAACCAATGATGTGTTTTTCTATGTGAGATGCCACCACCTCTCCCTGCCTTTTTTTTTTTTCCAGGGAAAGCTCTTATGAGATCGCAACTCTGGTCGCGCGCAGTTGTCCGCCGCCACCGCCGGTGTCTGTAACCACATCGCACGAACTTAGAAAAAAAATATAGCACCAATGACGCAGTGAAGCTTGAACCGAGGTCCACTGGGTGCCAGCCCAGTATTCTACCACTAAGCTATGCCAGTGCTTGCGACTTGATTGCAAACTTGCCTTAGGCACGCTTGATGACGAGAAAGCAATTGCATTAATACGACTTATAAAGCGCTTTAAAAAAGTGAAAGAACAACCAGTCCTCGCACAATGTGAATAGCGTAACGAGTGAGCCATCCAATGCTCCAACCCATTATAAAAGCTTGTTCTTGTTCCCCTATTAGCTGTGGCGCATACCCACTTCAGCCATAATTCCTCATTGTCATCAGCCACTGCATGAGCAATTGGCACAAAATTCCTTGCAAGTGTTTAGCGGCTACCACACTTCTCAGAAGAGTGACGAAAAATAGCATAGAGAATGCTATTATTAATGCCCTAGTGGATATCAAGCAAGTGTGCACTACCCAAAAAAAATTTATTATTAATGCCCTAGTGGATATCAAGCAAGTGTGCTTGCAGCAGTTACCCAATGAGTGTTTTGAAAAGGCTCTGAAAGGCCACTCTTCTAGCTTTCGCTGTGACTGTGCTGCGCCTTCTGCGTAGGCCTGGCGTTTTTTTTTTTCTTTTCACTAAAGTTAATTCTTACTTCTGTGTCTCATCTTTCATTGCATTGCTACCTCTGATGCAGAACATGGGGTATCTTAGTGTGCAATCAGAAAAACAAAAAAAAAATATTATTGCTTTAAAATAATGGTACCATTTATTCGGAAAGAAAAAGATCTAGTAACTGAGCTAATAAAATTTTTTTCTGTCATTTTGCCAAGTTTTTCTTTTTTTTCATTCACAAATTGGTTAGTTCGAGAAGTTTTTCTCGAGTGGGGAGGCCCGAGCACAGGCAAGAAAAGTTGACCGTAGTTTTGCTATTGACTGCAGAATTTAAGAAAAATTAGCATGACTCATTGGGAGAAACGTTCTTTTAAAGGTGCAACAGATAACATAGCGATTTTGACCAGCAATTTAACCAAGTAGTGTATGTCAACCTTGCTAGAGGCACATTGACTGATTGACAAATCTGGCAGGAATGACACCTCCGAAAAAATAACCAGTCCTCGAGAACATGTGCTAGAAATAAATGCAAATTCTGAGAAAAGTACTGGATGCTGGGTAAGTTGGAAGTCCATACCAATAATTAAAGGTGCAAAAAAAAAAGGACGAGCCGTGTTGTCCACTCCTTCTCGTCCTTCCTTTTACAGCGAAAGATGTTGAGATTACAACACGGTTCACGTGTGCGTCATAGTTGTCTGCCGCCACTGGTGTTTGTAACCACTATCCCATGAAATAAAAAAATACAGTAAACAAAAAACATTAAGAACAGAATGGAATTCGAACTCGGGTCCGCCGCATGCCAGTCTAGTAATCTACCAGAGAGCCATGCCGTTTTTTTTTTTCTTTATTGTGGAGAGCCATGCCGTGCTTGAAACAATGTTGCAAACTGGCCTTAGGCATGTTTGATGTTGGAAAAGTAATCCCGTTAATATCAATAATAAAGCGTTTTAGAACAGCAAAGAAACAACCAGGCGTCACATAATGTGAATTGCGCAATAAGTGTGTCGTCGAATGATCCAACCCTTCGCAAAAGCTTGATCTTGTTCACCTATTAACTGTAACGCATACCTAATGTTAGTGATTGTGGAGATTACAAAAGCTTCTGGCATATTCTTGATCGTCAGCAGCCACATCACACACAAAAAAAAAAAAACATTGTAGAAAGTTCCTTGCAAGTGTGCAGCGGGTACCATGCTTCTCGAAAGAATGGCGAAGGATGGCGTAGTGAATGTTTGCGTACTATATAATGATTAATGGCGTAGTGGGTACGCTGCAAGTGTGCGCGATGGTTACCTGAACAGGGCTTTAAAAAAAAAAGGCTCTGAAAGGCCGCTCCTCCAGCTTTCGCTGTGAAAGTGCAGTGGTGCGGCACGTTCCGTGCAGGCCTGGCGGTCCTCATTTTTTTTTTTTTCCCCCGTTCGAAAAAAAAAAAAGTCAGAAAATTTTCTGCTTCTGGGTTTCAGCCCTTGCAGAGCTCTGAAAGCCATAGCAGGGATTTGTGAGTATTCAGTTATTAAAATATTCCACACATACTAAAGCAATGTCACACTAGACACTTCCTATCTACAGGTCATAACTGCAAGAAGTTGGCTAAAATAGTTCAATATTTCACTGGCAAGCTCTGTTAGAACGTTCTACTCCAAAAAGACACTGCACAAACAATAAACACAGTAATGGGCAGCCCTTACATATGAACCGAATTAACATGCATTTTTAAAAGTGACAATCCGGAAAGTGTCTGCGTGCACAGAGGACATTTGTACGTCACATGGTGCGTTGTTGCGTGCTTCTGGAGTTGAACCCTTGTAGAGAAGGTCTTGGAGCATCGAGAACACGAATTTGACTGCAAGTTTTTTGTTCTACTTGCACTTTCCTCGCTGCATTCGTTATATTCTTGGCATGACTGAGCCGATTCCAGGCGGTTTGCATCGGGCGGAATCGAAGTGCCGAAGCGCCTGCTGCAGTCGTCCAACACCGAAACGCGTCTTCTTTTAGACGTCGATGGTTGACATGTTCTATCCTCATCGTATTGCCCCGTGGGACCGTTGGAATCTACAAGGTGGCGTTTCAACCCCTCGGCATACCTTAGTTTCCGACGCTGAAAATCTTGCAGGCACGACGAAGGATGAGTCATTGATCTTCTCTTACAATTTCCGCTCATGGCTAGCTTCCATGAAACAGTTATGGCGCTTGCCGTCGTTGAAACACTCTCACAACTATATCGGTCACACATCGCGCCGTTGTCCGTCCAGATTTCACAGGTATATACATTGCCGTACTCACATTGTTTTGCTTTTTAAACAAATGGCTCAAAGCATGCAGCCGCCAAGAGGGAAGCAAATGACAATGAAATAACATTAAAAACACGGCAGTGCTAGTGTCGCATTGCTGCAAGTACGCCCCAAAAACTCTCGAGTTCCAGCGATGGCCGTAGAGAGCAAAAAATCGACTGTGGTGAGTTACATCGAGGTAGAATTACTCCATGAAGAAAGGAATAAGCTTTTCTTTCTCCACGAATTACTCACTCCTCTTTCAGCGGTCGGACATAACCTCCGAGATTGCAAGCGCGTAACGTGCAAAGAGGTTCATAGAACCATAGTGTATATCACGGAGGAAGGAAAAAGGTACCTTTTCCTTCCTCCGTGGTGTATATTGAGAAACTCCATGTACAGAACCTCTGGAGTGGCAGTCCCAGCCGCCGCCAACGGGAGAGTGAAGCCGCCGGCGGCCATATTGCTAGAGGAAGAAATTGGCCCAAATCTACATGTTACTCTGTAAATGTCGTCGAAAGACGTACGATGGTCTTGCGTCTGGAGAGAGTGAAAAAAACGTGTATTTGATGTTCTGCGCAAGAAAATCGGTGAAGGGTATTCTGGAGGCGCTGCGTTAGAGTGCCTCGAGCATGTAGCGGAGGCGAACGAGCACATTGAGGCACGTTAGGACCAAGGAGGATACAAAAAACTTGCTGGAGTGGAAGCCGCCTATGCGCCGCTACGGGAGAGAGTGAAGCCGCGCCGAGCGTGGGGCGGCCATGTTGCCAGTGGCAGAAAAGAGCCGAGCGCTGCAAATTTATGCTTCATCGCGCTGCGGGTGAAGTGACTCGTGTGTTTATATAAAGCAACTAAAACAAGTAATTCTGGTTGTAAATGTTTATTGCGACTTGTACGCAGCAAAATGGCATGTAGAGAACTCAATTAAATTGCATATGCATCAAATAGCGATGCCTAAAGCAAACACATAATCGAAAACATAGGTGCCCTACTGGTGGTTGAAAATTATTGCCCTTGTCAAAAGTGGTCCCACCTTACTTTTGACCGATTCTCGTTTTTTTTTTTCCTTCGTTATGTGTTGTATCCTCACTTTTACGTATTGTTCGGCGATTTGCCTGCACAAACTGTAAACCTTATTATCAAGCGTATCAAAGTCTAGGACGTGCTGCTCTAGTTTATGGAACCAGTTTTTCTCGGAGGAAGCTCATAGAACTTTCAGGATGAGGTGTTTTGCTTTTGACTTCACCGTTGTCATGGAATCACATTCAGCCTGTAGCCGCCTCATTCCTCGACTTCTTTACAGAGGCTAACGACATCTCGCGACGCTGAAACAAGACCACCTCGCCTCTTAAATTTAATTAAAGGTGTCAGCTCATCTGAGTGCACGGCTTCTATACACTCTTCACAGGTAGTTGCAGTTCGACCTTTCGAACAATGAAGCCTGCTATGTATGGCACCACAGAACCGACAAAAACAGAAAAGCTTTCGGGCTAGTCAATGCGATGCGTATTGTCGTGGTCATCGGGCTGCAGGACTGGGGCCTTGCGCATGTCAGTGAGATTGCTTCTTGGATCTACCATGGCTGCAGGAGTCGTTGCATTCAATACGGAGAAAACATCTTCGGAGCAGTGTCCAGAACTTGAAGACGTGACTTCCGTCGGAACCGACGCTTGTATGCAGCCATAAACTGCGAAGCTGTTGGGTTGTTGTTAAGGCCACCTCATCCACGTATTGATTCAAAAAAGTTTTTGGCATAGTCTTGACTGAGTTTGTGTGTCAGTAAGTATTTCAGCTGACAAGTCGGTCAAACATTCTTTCCGTGCTTGCCATGCGTATCCAAACACCAATGAATCCGTTTTTTTTTTTTTTTCAGTCCTTCTGTCACTGCCGGATCTCTCAGCCCGTTTATGTACGCTTGAGTCTCCGCCAAAAAAAAAAAAAAACGACTTCTAGAATGCTTCGTTTCCCTGCCGAAGGGGCGCTTTGTACGACCTTGCCAGCGGGTTCCTGGAGTTTTAAGATGTCAAACAACCGATCAAAAGTTCTAATAAACGTAGATCTTGTGCTGGCACCCTTGAATTGCGGCAGCTTTAGCTTTTATTCGCAGAAGTCCAAAGCGTCGGCAACTGAGGCACTCGATCAGTTGTACAGCATATCATACCTTCAATTTCTTGCTTTTCCCATTGAACGTGGACTTTCGTAAGTTTGTTTCCAAGCCACAACCCTTCTTCACGTTGAAGTGCCTTCAATGCCACTTCATAACCCCAGTTCACATGCTTCCCTTCGATGTCAAAGAGGTGGTCAAAGCACTCTGGCGCGAAGTGCACAGAGCGAAGTGATCTCAGTCTTTCGCATTCGAGTTCTCACGGCGAACGGCCCACTCCCAGAGGCTCCGCGTTACGGGACCTTTAGGAAACCTGTAAAACAAATCCGGACTGTTATGTTTTGCACGCTTAGATCGCGTCAGCTATAGCTCCCTTTTTTGTAACGAGTGCGGAATGGCTGTGTCGAAGACGTTTTCGTGTACGTACAGGTGGAATGTGAGGCCACAACCTTTCTTCAACCTGTTGGCACATCCGTGAACGACGCAAGAGGCAACCATTGTAAACCATTTGTCTTTACATGCCGACAAGGTGAAACAAGAACGGACTAAATCAGCAGCTCGCGTTGGCACTGAGCACGCTTTTTGCCACTGGCAAGATGGCGGCGGCTGGCTTCACTCGCACAGCGCCCCTTCCACTCCAGCAAGTTTTATGTATCCTCCTTGGTTAGGACACAAGCGCCATCTGGCAGTTATCTTCAAAAATGAAGGCGTGCAGACCGCGGAGAAAGATGTGCGCCAGTCTGGGAGGTGATAAGGTTTAGAACGCAAAACGACGGGCAGGTGCCACCACCGGGACGTCGTAGCAAAACGTTGAAAACACCTTCTTGAGCACCGCGTTGCACTGTCAGCGCAGCGCGATAAACGCTACAGTCCTTAGAGTTACTTGTGTTTGCCTCTTCTAGTATAAAGGCAGACATACAAAACATGAACGTGTTGTTATGGCACCTCAGATATGCGCAATATTCGCCTTTTTTTAATTGACAATCGCACAACTATGAACGCTAAACCTTGAGCAATATTGGTGGGCGCTGCGGATGGGGTTCGCCGTTTGGTGCCGTTTGAGGTATCGTTAGAACAGACAAACAGACAAATGTACAGACAGACAGACAAATGTACAGACAGACAGACAGACAAGCCAAAATTTTTCCGTCGAGGGTCCCCAAGAAAGACTGTCGTCTTTAAAACAGGGCGGAACCGCCGTAGACCGCAATGGAATACGCGCGCTGCGCGCGTTGGTTTGCAGTTCCACGATAAAAAAAAATGAGATGAAAACCACTTTTAGGTTACACCAACGAATAAATGCTTCTTCTTGTTTATGAGACAAATTATGCCATGCACCCATTGTCAGCTGCACGCTTTCAGATCAATCTGTTGTCGAGGGATGCTTCGCATATCGAGCTTGCTGGCGCACTATTGCGGTACAAAAGGGTTGTAGTATATATTGGGGTTTTAAGAAATGTGCCTGCAGATATTCAAGATCAAGGGGAACGTGACATTTGCTCGCCTCGTTCATGTATGTGCTTGTGTGTGTGTCGGCAGATTACCAGAGAATATATATAAGGAAGTTGAAGTAATTAACGGTAAAGTTAGAAAATAGAGGTAATTAAGTAAACTGGGAGTCACCAGTAATTTTTCTAGAGTTCTTAAATTCTAACCAATTTACAGGTGGAACCAAAAATGAAGCACCGATGTCGCGTGCAACTGACAAAGTCCAGGAGACGTACCCCAAATGAACTGTTTATAAGAATGATTGCAGTGGCGTTAGTTATGCAAAATATTTATCAACTTCCGTTGGCGACGTGTGTCGTCATGGCAAGCGCAGCCTTCAGCGCCTAGAAACGAGGTAGCTCGATATTTGATATAATGCCACTCACTCATTTTGGCAACTTCGTCTATCGACGTTTTGGTTTCGGTTTCGTCGGCAAGATAGAACAGATTTCAAAGGCGTCTCATCTTGTTTTAGACTCAATTGCTTATTTTTGTGACTACATTCTACTGAAGCTACGTCAAGGAGGTTGAAACGGACAGGTTTTTGCAGATGCGCTCGGAAAGCAGAAAAAATCGAAGGAGCACTGCCAGGCCGCAGTCTGGTTGTCTGCCCCGTTCTGTCGAAGCAGCATTCTTCGAAGTGAATACAACAGAGGTGGTCACCGTCCGTAGCCCTCCAACTATTTCTTCAAACAGCACGTTCCCAGGCAAAACGCAGCGCACTGTCTTTCGGAAACCTGTAACACGAATAATCACGGCATAGAATTGTTCTCTACATTTGCGAATTCCTCAATATACATGCACAAAATTCGATAATCTCTCGCCAAAAAAATATGCATGCACGCCGTCAGTCTTGCCTTATTAGACAACACCAGAAAACTTGTAATTCAAAGGGCATTCAGACATAATACTCGTTCCAATGTTTCATACGTGCAGCCACAGACTGCAAGTCCTTCGTCCATAAACTTAAAACTCAGGGACAACGTCGTGTCAGCGAGCAATTATAGCTTCAGATTACGTTCCATACAGATATACGCATCTATCACATGCATGCGTACCTTTGATGTTGTTTCTAATTTAACAAAATACGCGAAAAAAAACAGGCAATTGTCAGCGAACAAAGCGAGAATACTTACGCGTGAAAAGTGATCTCAGCCGTCTTCTTGATGCGATTTGTGCAGCCATAAGCGACGCACGAAGTCACCATGGCCTTGTAAAATCTTTAACTGCTTTACAAAAGCATGACACAGTCTACAAAGGTGACGGCGAGGGCGGAGCTACGAAGCGCACTTTGTCGTCTGCTTCCGAGTCTTTCTTTTTCTAATATGGCGGCAACCGGCGTCACTTATCGGGGCTACAGTGTACTAGAAGAGCTTCTAGTACACTGTATCGGGGCGCACCTCCACTCCAGAAGACATAGTACAGAACCTTCTTGGTAACGTGGTTCTCTGTGATCACGCGTTGCTCTAAAGGAGCAGTGTTTCTCAGGACCCAATGAAGTTCTTTGTCTGTCTGTCTGTCTGTCTGTCTGTCTGTCTCTGTGATCACAGAGTTTAATATTATTGTATGAAACCATATCAAACTCCATGTCTCCGACCATAGAGTTTTATGTTGTGTGAAACTCTATGTCTCTGACCATCTCAATTAATTGCCGCACTCCCCAGCAAAACCAGCCATTGCCTCGCGCGCCCGGCTACCGTGAGAGAGCGCATTTAATGTGGGTTGGGCTCCGGATCGACTGCG